AGCCTTAGTGAAGACATCGGCAATTTGATATTCAGAGTTGATGAAGTGTAGTTCGATATGACCCTTTTGAATGTTGTCTTTGATAAAGTGATATCGAATGTCGATGTGCTTTGTCATGGAATGGTGAACGGGATTGTGAGAAATGGCAATTGTACTGGTTGAGTCACAAAATATGGGAATTTGTGAGATTTTGAAGCCATAGTCACGCAGTTGAGTTTGCATCCATATGACTTGTGAACAACAACTGGCGGCAGCGACATATTCAGCTTCTGCTGTTGATGTGGATACACAAGTCTGTTTCTTTGAAGTCCAACTCACTAGTCTACCTCCTATGAATTCACAGCTACCAGATGTACTCTTCCTATCTAGCTTGCATCCTCCGTAGTCTGAGTTGGTGAAAGCGTTCAACTGAAAATCGGATTTAGCTGGATACCAAAGGCCAAGTTTGGGAGTGCCTTTAAGGTATTTGAAGATGCGTTTCACAGCAACTACATGGGATTCCATAGGATTTGCTTGGTATCTAGCACAAACACATGTAGAAAACATGATGTCAGGTCTGCTGGCAATGAGGTACAAGAGTGATCCGATCATTCCACAATATCTTTTCTGGTCAACGGGTTTTCCATTTAAGTCTGCATCAATTTTGTATCCAAAAGCCATTGGGGTTTTTGCGGTATTGGATTTTTCCATTGAAAAACGAGTGAGTAGGTTTTGACATAATTCTCTTGGTTGATGAAAATGCCATCAGTTGACTGTTTGATTTGAAGTCCGAGAAAAGTAGTCATCTCCCCAATCATGCTCATTTCAAATTTGCTCTTCATTAGATCTGCAAACTTAACACTTAAAGATTCATCAGTAGAACCGAAAATAATGCCATCAACATATATTTGTACGATTAACAGATGTTTATTAAAGATTTTACGAACGAAAGAGGGTTTGATCAATTGAACCTCTTTTAAAACCTGATTCTTCGAGAAAGGTTGCAACATGGCATACCAAGCTCGAGGTGCTTGTTTCAAGCCGTAGACGGCTTTCTTCAATTTAAAGCTGTGATCTGGAAATTTGGGATCTTCAAAACCTGGTGGTTGTTGGATGTATACTTCGCGATCTATCTCTCCATGTAGGAATGCACATTTAACATCCATTTGGAATACTTTGAAATTTTTATGTGCAGCATAAGCAAGAAAGATGCGAATTGCTTCAATTCGGGCAACTGGAGCATATGTTTCATCGTAGTCGATTCCCTCTTGTTGTGAATATCCTTTGACTACAAGACATGCCTTGTTTCGACAAATGACTCCTTGATCGTCAGTCTTGTTTCTGTATACCCATCTTGAACCTATAACAGTAACATCGGGTGGAGTAGGAACAAGATTCCATACGTCGTTTCTTTCAAATTCTGCTAGCTCTTCTTGCATAGCTTTTACCCAATCTGGATCTTTTATAGCAGAATGTATGGTTTTGGGTTCAGTCGTGGATAAGAAGGCTCCAAATAAACATTCATTTGTGGATGCGCCTCCAATCTGAATGCCTATGTTGGGATCTCCGATGATTTGGTTTGTTGGATGATTTCTGGTCCACTTTATTAAGCGATTCTCTTCCGCTATAATAATTGGAGTTTCAGTATCCCATTGTTCTTCTCCGGGCGTTTCATCTTGGAATAGGTTTGAAGGTTCCCCATAAATGATGCATCGGGATTGTTTTGGCTATTTGGGGATGGGGTGTTTAAAGGAGGATTTGGTGTTTGTTCCAAAGAGGAAGTATGTGTTGGTGGTTCCCCTCGAATTGATTTGCATTTTTGGTTTGTTTGTGGAATTACTTCACTGGTGTTCCTGTAGGGTCAATTAAAGTAGTTAGAAGTTCAGAATTGTAAGCGGTTTTTGGTTGTTCAAAAATCAAATCAAGATCGATTTCAATGTCTATGTTAGGAGAAGGTGTTTGTTGAATTGGATTCTGAAAAATATTTTCAATCATTTTTGAACCAAAATGTTCACGATCCAATTTCCTAACATAAAATTCATCGAAATGAACATCGTACTTTCTTCAATTACTCTAGTACTTTTATTCAGTACTCGATAAGCAGCTGAAGAAAAAGAGTAACCAAGGAAAAATTCCTTCGTCCTTGATTCAAATTTTGAAAGGTGATCTTTATTATTTTTTACGAAGCATCGACAACCGAAAATATGGAAAAATTTGATGTTTTGGTTGTTTTGGTTGTTAATGACTTCATATGGTGTTTTATGAAGATGTTTATGGATTAAGGAACGATTTTGAGTATAGCAAGTTGTGGCTATTGCTTCTGCCCAGAAGTATTGTGGCAGATTAGCGAAGATAAGCATTGATCTTGCAGCTTCACATAGAGTTCGGTTCCTTCTTTCGACAACACCGTTCTGTTGTGGAGTGTATGGGGCTGAGAAGTTGTGTTCAATTCCTTTCTCTTTGAGAAATGAATCTAGAGTATTGTTTTTGAACTCTAAACCATTATCACTTCGGATTCTTCGAACAGGTCGTTTCAGTTTCAGCTCGATTTGTTTGATGAAGTTGATCATCTCTTCAGGTGCTTCTGATTTTAGTCTTAAGAAAAAGACCCAAGGAAAGCGCGAGAAACCATCAACGACAACAAGAATGTACTTTTTCCCTTGTATGGTTTGGGTTTTGGCAGGGCCACAAAGGTCTATGTGCAACAACTCTAGTGGTTCGGATACACTAGATTCTGAGATGTTTTGTGAGTGGATTTGGAAAGTTTTCCTTTTTCACATGCGGCACAAAGAGTTTCGTTATCAAGCTTCAGAAGTGGTAGCCCTCGAACAAGATCATCGCCGATTAATTTGTTGATGTACCCAAAGTTTAGATGGGAAAGGGGGCGGTGCCATAACCAACTAATATCTGTTGGAGCTTTAGATAGCAGACATATATCGGGTTTACCCTAGATAATATCCATGTCAAGTGGATACATATTTCCGGCACGGTCAGAATCAACTATAACATCTTTGGTTTTGGCGTCCATGATCAAGCTTTGTTTTTGGTGAAAAGAACTTCAAGATTGTTATCACAC